CATCATGTTTAAGTTGATGCGTTTACATACTAAATTTATATTTCAAATTTTGTAACAATAATTCATATTATTTTATTGTTGCTTTATAGTTTATATTTGTTATAATAATTACATTTTTCATTATAAAAATTATAGTGATTATTGTATTCAACATACAATAACTATTACATTTAATATCTAACTACAATAAATATTCATTTCAATTATTCATTTATTTAAACATTACTTAAAATTATTTTTTAAATTAATAATCATGCATCAATTTAACTATTAATTATTATTATACATTTTAATGTCCTAATATCTACTAAAAAAATATTTTAATATAATAATATAATTATTTAATTATTTTTTAAAAAGATTAAACTTTATATTCTGATATTACATCTATTTATTATAAAAAAACTGTAATAATTAAATGTACATCTAATAATTATTTAATCAAGTGTAATAATAATTATATTATTAAACTTTCTATTTCAACATTGCATTTAAAAATTAGAAATAATTATAATTCGTAAAAAAATTATAAAATTACTAATTATAAAAAGAAAAAGGAAACATCCAATCCGTATATACTACGGGTCTCATACTAGTTTTTCTAAAAGGAAATTTCAGTGTGAAAAATACGAAGGATATGAAATGTGATCTTTTATTTGTTTTTTAAAATCCTTTTAGATTCAAATATGTATTTTTAAAAGAATTGTGATTTATTATATTAATATAGAGAAGAAATATGACAACGATGATTTTTTATAACTGTTTAAAAATTAAAACACGTTAAGACAAAATAAAAAATGATGTATTTTTATCGTAGTTATAAACCAAAATAAAATGGTTAAGATTTTGTTTCGGTTAAAAGACTGAAACACTAAATCAAAAATAAAAAATATAAAAAAGTAGGTTTTTAACAACTGAAGTCATAAATTTTATTTGATTTTAAATAATTATTTAATTTTAAAGATATATGATAGTGAATTTGTAATACAAAAGTCATAAATCTTATTTGTGGGGGTATGGACAGAGTACGTTCATTTTCTATGTAACCAAAGGTGACTATCATATGTAATTCTTGTGAGAAAAACATATCAAGTAGACTAAACTTCTTATATTCTTAACATCTTTATGTGAGTGAACGTTTCTTCAAACAGTTAAATAGTAATATTTAACCTTAAATATAGCACTCCAATTATAATATCACAACTCCTCGCGTCTATTATGATAATTAACACCTATAATTTTGATATAATTCATACGTTAAATATATTATCTTTATTTTATATTTTTAGTTAGTTTATTATTTTTTATTTATATTTTAGGATTAGTCCTTATTTTTTTTATTATAAATAAAAAATTTATGTGTATATTTAACACAAAGAAGATTAATCTTATACATAATTTTCACTATATTCAACATAGTATTTAGAATGACAATTTTTTGAGGAAATGTTTTTTGTTTCCTCTGTCACTACACCAATAGTTGCTGACAGCGATGTCATTGTCTACCGCCATCGTCTATTACATTGTCTATTCAACTGACAATCACATGGTTTTTATCATCTCGATCAGACGATCACCATGTCATCAACGACGCCTTCATCAGAGCTTCTACGTGCTCGCTCTTAACACCTTTTAAAGTTGTGAATTTGCTCATTTTTTTGCCGTGCATGGTGTCATGTCTAGTAGCAATTCAGAGCGTCAAGATCCCTTGCTTTTCTCTTTCAGGTTCATCATGCATTGTCGCACGTCCGTCTTCTCTCATAAAACTATTGAGAGCATCGAGGTTGCTCTTTTTCCCTTTTTAGGTACCTTAATTGGAGAATCTTGGACTTTTATGATTTTTCTCTACTATTCATCAATGGCCTCTTCCACTATCGTCTCTTCTGATCTCCTTTTTAACACCATTGCGTTTGACCATGTTTTTTCTCTCATGGAAAAGAAGGATTTTGTTACTTTATTTAGAGCCATGGTGACTCTTCAACAATTACATCTTTATCCACTAGATGTCAATAATGCATTCCTTAAGGATAGTTTGCAGCAAGAGATTTACATGGAGCAACCTCCCAAATTTGTTGCTCAGGGGAAGTCTTTTTGGTTGGTCCATGTAAATATCTTATTGCAAATTGTCGTTAAGGAATGAATTATTAACATCCAATGGGTAAAGAGGTAATTGTTGGATAATCACCACGACTATAAATAAAGTCACAAAAGCCATATTTTTCATGGAAGAAAAAACATATATGGACGATTCAAACACAATGGTGATAATAGGGAGGTTAGAAGAGATGAAGACGAGAATAAGCCATGGATGAACAGGAAAGAGAAACTTTAAAAATCTAAGATTCTCCAATCAAGACACCTGAAAAAGAAAAAAGAGCAACTTCAATGCTTTGAATAGTTCCATGAGAAGAGACTCGACGTGCGACAACGCACGATGAACCTGAAAGAGGAAAACTAGGGACCTATACGCTCTGGATTGCTATTATCATGTCATCATGCATGACGAAAAAAGGGAACAAATCCACAACTTCAAAAGGTGTTGAGAGCGTGTAAGAGCTCCAATGAAGGCGTCGTTGACGACATGGTGGTCGTCTAGTCGAGACAATCAAAACCATGTGATTATCAGTTAAAACTAGAACTTTCATAGTGGCTGCAATAGACAACGACGATGACATTGTGTAATAACATATACAACATAATTTTTTTCTTCAAAAGAACCCTAAACTTCTCTAGATACCAAAATCAATATGTAAAAACTATGTATGAAACTAATTTCCCTTGTATTAAATATACACATATTCTTTATTTATAATAAAAAGTATAGACTAAACTGAAAATATAAATAAAAAGTAATAACAAACTAACTTGAAAGATAAATATAATTAGAGATAATATATATATATATATATATATATATATATATATATATATATTTAAATTTCAAATACGTGTGACTTAAATTCATATATATATATATATATAATATTATTTTTATTTTAAAATCTTAAGATAATAAATTTATAAATTTTTAATAATTTTATTTTTTTCTATTATTTTCAATAAAAACCATTTTATTTGTCCAAGTTGACAGTCTACCGCCGACTACTCTATCGATCTCGTGCCACTCAGGTTTTGGCATTATTTGTTCTCAATTCTCAGTGAATAAACATTGTAAGGTTTAAAATATCATATTCCAAATCCTTCACTTTGGCAATGACGTCGTCTCCGTTTTTATTTCTAGTGTTATTAGTTCACGACATGAGATTGACTATTTCAAGATGACTTTTAAAGCAGAAATTATCTTTATTTTAATATTTAATAGATATAAATTTTTTATTATATCTCTGTTAGAAAATGGAAACATACCGTACTTATTTTAATTTCTCTATTATTTTAAATATTAATAAAATACTTTTTATAAAATAAAAATGAAAGAAAAAATCATAATATTTATAGTATTCATGTTAAAAACAATATAAGTTTCGACGGCAGCACAATCTCCACATAACATTCTTTTTATTCTTTTTCGAGTTAACTTAGGTTGTCTTGAATATTCTTAATCACAGTAAAATCTTGAATTCATAATAAATACAATCACTTACCTTTTTACTTTTCATCATTATTTTCAATATGAATTTATGATCAACATACTTCTAATCATAGTCCATTAACTAATAAATAACATTTATTGATAATTTTGATTGGACGATACTTGATCATTCGGTCCATCAGTCCTTTGAGTGATCTTACCTAGACCTTCTCCACGACCATACGATCATACAGTATAAGACACATTTATTTATTTTTCAACATTAAATATTCAAATAAATTATAATTATATAAAATTAAATAAAAGTTAAATAATTACCAAAAAAAGTGTAAAAACCAATTAAATATGTACATGACCAAAGAAAAGTTTATACAATCCGTATATAAATTATCCAAACAATTAAAGTGTAAAATACGTCTATAATTTCTAGACTTAAACACAAAAGTAGAATTCATCATTTTTTTTAACTTTAATATATTTTAATTCTTAAATTTAAAAAATAATGAATATAATTATTTTAATTCAATAACGATAATTTTATTTTTATGATAATTTTATTTTTATATGTTAAACAATGTTTTAAAATAACATTTGAACAGAAACATTGATATAAACAATTTAAGTCTCAATCTAAAATATTTAAAATATCACGTAACACGTAAAAAAAAAATTATGTCATTAGATTAAAAAAGTTATAACGACATAACAATTGTTTCATGAATCTGTATAGTGACTCAAACAAAATCTTAAAGCGAAATTATATAAATATTATAACAATTATCTTGTTTTAATGTTTGATATATTTGCACTCAATATTTTCATCAAATAAATATGTGAAAATTAAATCTTTTATCAAAATATAAAAATAAATTATTATCTAAATTAAAAAATTATAATAATTTAGCAATACTTGATAAAAAAATTTTACGGATTATATAAACCAGTCTGTCCATCCTATTATTGACCTACAGGAACTCCAGGTTATACAAAATAGGTCGGTAGATCGAAAACTCAACTTCTTCAACACTTTTTCTTGCGGATTAAGACATAGTTGCATAATCGTCCCTAAACCCAATTCATTTATCATCATTTCACCAATATTAAAAATTGAAAAGGAAGACTATGGTATTTGTGTAAACAGATATTTTATCAATTGGAAGTGGTCATTGTATTCAAATTAATTGAAATGTTTTAACAAGATTATGTTTAACAGAAACCATATTGAAATATACTATTTTAAAGACTAGAATGGAAATTACTAAACTAAATGACCAAAATGATACTTAGAAAAAGAAAACTAATCATGCACAGGTTTTCTAGTGCATTCCATGGTAAGTCTAATTATTGGAAGAGAAGAGTATAGATACCAAAGAAAAAACCTTCGATGCATTTTCCCTGATATTCATTCAAAAGGAATATGTATCAAGCTTCTACACAAATAAAAATTAAGTATGAACCAAAAGGAACCCCGGTTGACATTTCCATGTTCATCCATCGCTATGATGAGTGCATTACATTATTTTACTATGGAATCCGGTTACACACGCTCTCGCTTACACATTTTTAAACTCGCAACACAATGTAAATTAAATTTCATAAAATGCTATTTAATTAATACAACATACGTTGATAAAACTAACCAATGAAAAGCTACCTAAACCCTTTCTCTCCCAATAAATATAATGAATTAGAAAGGACAAGAAAAAGACGTATCAAAAATCAGCTTTTCTTTGATGACAATCGCACTCTTTTGCCTTCGATACAGAACTTCCTGCTACCTGTCAGCTGCAATCAAGGAACAAATCATGTCAAAACGCGGAGGACTATGCAACTAATAACACAGATATTACCAAATCAAGGAATGCCAAGTATAATATCTAATGATTCCAAATCCCAAATATACCAATATTAGATGACTGCAACAAGCATCATATATTTCTTCTGTCAATAAAAGGTTGCCATTAGCACATTTTATTCTTCTTTCAAGAAAAGGTTGACAGAAGCACTACCTTTTGCCGTAAGTAAGCAATAGCCTCTCTTTTTGAAGAAAAGCCCGACAAAACCGAAGATGAATGTTCATCAATAATAACTTTGAGCTGTTTCAGTTTCAACGATTCTCCAGGCACCTGAAGTTAATCAGGAAGTGAATGGTCACGAATTTATTAAGGGAAAAAATATTTGCAACACAAAAAATAGAACACACCTGCAGTAAAATCTTTTTGCACAACTTTTTCAGCTTCACTTTGCATTCAACGATCTTTTCTAATTTAACCAAGTCATTATGGGCTTGTTTTTCAAGGGAATCCGTGTCAGCAGAATCTTCATCACTATCATCAAAGGATGTCTTTTTCCCCTGATAATAGCAACCAGCTACTTTCTTGGGTCTGTCCTTGATCCCTAGTCCTTGCTTCCCCGTTGTGGATTTCTCCTGGTAAAACAATTACTGTATAATTAACTATATTGCTATATAATTCATTATCACACCCTACAGGTTCGGATACAAAATTATTACAACAATATAGCCCTAGGGTTTTAAGATATCAATTAGGAATATACCCGTGTATTGGACACCCATTAACTCAAACCCAACACAATCAAACTCATTGTTCATTGCGTAGGGTATTGTTTTGGTGCTGAAACTCATGAACCCAACCCAACTCCACCCATCATTATATAACATTCTTAATTCTAATTTATTACTGTTACCATTTAACATAAATGAAATTAACAGAAGTGACTATATTACCACTACATGTAACAAGTTAAAATAACAAAGAGGTCACACACCTGGACTAGATTATAAAGGTTCTCTTGATCCTCTTCATGAAAAGCAGTTCTCTCTGCCCTATTTTTTACAGTTTCAGATGTCATAGACCTTTTCTTTTTCAATTCAGCTCCTAGAAATCCACCAGAGACAAAACCATACTTATAGCCCCACCACTCTGGAGGTATAGCAGGATATTTGCTTTCTGTATCAATGCAGTATCCAAATATCATATGTGAAGCCAATCAACATGAATAGCACAAACTAAATTTCGGTTGAGGTGTATACCTTCAACTTGAAAATTGTGAATTTCAGATGACTTCAACATGTCCAGCTCACCATCAGAATTATCAGTAACCCCAGATATGTCACCCTTTTTAACCTATCACCAACATCATAGAAGTAAACAAACAATGACAAGCTTGTATGCAATAAAACTGCAAAACACATTTAAGAAGCTAGAATATAGAAAATGCTACCACCATTAGCTTAATATTTTAATTTTAAAGATTTAAAGTATCAAGACTTTTCAAAAAGAAAAAAGAAGCGCGAGGGGCATCTAATACTCAAGCATCCATTCATGCAACGAAATTTGAGAATATTGCAATATACGGTAAGTCTCTGTCTAAACTAAGCATACTGGAACAAAAATTGAACTTTCTTGACTACCAGAGTTCAATTCAAAAAAATATATATAATAGTAGATAGGTGTTCCAGGTTCATCGAATAAACATAAAAACAAATTTATTGAAAGAATAAAAAAATTAAAATAACAAAAGAAGCAATGCAAACATGAACACTGATTAGTAAATACACTAGCAATACCAGACCCAATCCCATTCCCACAATTCAAGTGATAGTGATTCGTTCAATTCAGCTATTGGAGTTGTGTCATGCACCTGATTTCAAATGTAAATAATACGCATTTCATTTATTCAACTATATCAGCCACTACATAAAAGAAAAACACAAAACACTACAACACCACATAGCAGTAAAACAGCATGTTAGCATCACCACTCAGGTTGTAAAAATGTGAGTAAATGGAGGTGTATCCAGCATCGAGAATTGGAACTTACAAGAATTCCTTCGAGATCCTTCAAGGAATATTGCGAGACAAGCTTTCCCCTCTCTCTTCTCTTGTATCTGAANAACGACGCCTTCATTAGAGCTTTTACGCACTCGCTCTTAACACCTTTTAAAGTTGTGGATCTCATTTTTTTGTCGTGCATGGTGTCATGTCTAGTAGCAATTTAGAGCGTCAAGGTCCCTTGCTTTTCTCTTTCAGGTTCATTATGCATTGTCGCACGTCCGTCTTCTCTCATAAAACTATTGAGAGCATCGAGGTTGCTCTTTTTCCTTTTTTAGGTACCTTAATTGGAGAATCTTGGATTTTTATGATTTTTCTCTATTGTTCATCCATGGCTTCTTCCATTATCGTCTCTTCTGATCTCCTTTTCAACACCATTGCTTTTGACCATGTTTTTTCTCTCATGGAAAAGAAGGATTTTGTTACTTTATTTAGAGCCATGGTGACTCTCCAGCAATTACATCTTTATCCACTAGATGTCAATAATGCATTCCTTAAGGACAGTTTGCAGCAAGAGATTTACATGGAGCAACCTCCCAAATTTGTTGCTCAGGGGGAGTCTTTTTGGTTGGTCCATGTAAATATCTTATTGCAAATTGTCGTCAACGAATGAATTATTAACATCCAATGGGTAAAGAGGTAATTGTTGGATAGCCACCACGACTATAAATAAAGTAACAAAAGCCATATTTTTCATGGAAGAAAAAACATATATGGACGATTCAAACACAATGGTGATAAAAGGGAGGTTAGAAGAAACGACGACGATGATAAGCCATGGATGAACAAGAAAGAGAAACTTTAAAAATCCAAGATTCTTCAATCAAGACACCTGAAAAAGGAAAAAGAGCAACTTCAATGCTTTGAATAGTTCCATGAGAGGAGACTGGACGTGCGACAACGCACGATGAACCTGAAAGAGGAAAACAAGGGACCTATACGCTGGATTGCTATTATCATGTCATCGTGCATGACGAAAAAAGGGAACAAATCCACAACTTCAAAAGGTGTTGAGAGCGTGTAAGACCTCCAATGAAGGCGTCGTTGACGACATGGTGGTCGTCTAGTCGAGACAATCAAAACCATGTGATTATCAGTTAAAACTAGAACTTCCATAGTGGTTGCAGTAGACGACGACAGTAGAGAATGACATCGTGTAATAACAGATACAACATAATTTTTTTTCTTCAAAAGAACCTTAGACTCCTTTAGATACCAAAATCAATATGGTAAAAACTATGTATGAAATATACACATATTCTTTATTTATAATAAAAAATATAGACTAAACTGAAAATATAAATAAAAAATAATAACAAACTAATTAAATTTAAAAGATAAATATAATATAAAGATAATATTTATATATATATATATATATATATTTAAATTTCAAAAGATATTATTTCTAAATATCTTGTAGATATTTCTTGAATGCAAAAAGTAATATACATATATGTTAACGATGCCATCTACATGATATATTTTTGACAAAATAATTTATTCCTTAAGCTTACAAATATCAGTAAATAATTATAAAAAAAGAAAA